ATTAGTGAATAATGCATAGGATCAATAATTAAATCAGATTTTAAAAAGTACAAGTAGCGTGCCATCATTGGTTAGAAGATGACACGTAGGTCATCTTCAACCTCCAGCCAACGTGAATTGCAGGTCTCTTAAACTGTAAAATCAGAAGCTCAGACCTATGCCATTCGCTTCGCCTCTTCAAGACGAAGACAACCACACTCTCACGCCAAATTTATATAAAATGTAGCTCAAGCAATTTGGAAGGAAAGTTTTGTAAAGGGATTTGAAATTTCATGGTCAAATCGTGTTTCCAGTAAAAAGCAAGTGTTGTGACTAGAACCAGGGTAATGATAGCATTACAATGATATCAAAGTTTTGAAGAAATTGGTGAAGGAATCTACCTATTAAAGTTGAGTTGCAGAGCTCTGAAATTGGACTTTTATGGAGTAATATATGGCACGATTCTTGAATGTAATTATATGGTTAGCTTCAAGGAAGATCAAGGAAGGTGAATTGATGGAAAAATTGGATTGAAAAAGGTTTGAGAATGGAATTCGAAGTTGCTGAATTTTGAGTTATGGAAGAAGTTTAGAAGGGTGATTCTGGTTATCCAAGCTTGAGGAAATGAATGGGTAATGACCCTCTATTTATAGGGAATCAAATGGAATGTCCAAGCTTGTGAAATGATGAAGTTTGGAGGGAAATCGTGTGATGTTGCAAACAAGAAAAGTGTGACTTCCAATTTCATCAAAACTCATCCAAAACACGTGTTTTTCTATGCTAATCACTTCTAGAACTTCATTAAACATGTTTATCCGCATAATTGTGCAGAAACAAAGTGTTTAGAAGCTAAACCAATGATTTCAAACTTCTGACTTGGTGAAAAATTCAGTTTCAAATTGCCAACTTCTGACCAATGGCATTCTCAGCTCAAGGGGTCTTAGGGCATGATCCTTGATGCTTTAGAAAGATGAGGTTACAAGCTTTGCAATGGAAAAGAATGGGATCAAATGGATGCATGAGCTGAAAATTTCATTGAGTCAAAGTTGGAGAAAAAGGGTTGACTTTCCATATTTAGAAATATTTCAATTTTTTCTTCAAAAAAGACTTATAATGTCTTGCATCCAAACTAGGGGTGTTCGCGGTGCGGTTTGGGCGGTTTTGAAGAAAAAAATCATCTGAACCGCAAGAAAAAAAATATGCGGTTCGGTTTGGTTCGGTTCATTGAGAAAAAAAATCCAAACCAAACCAATGCGGTTTGGATTGGTTCGGTTTTGTTAAATGTATAAATGCATAACACATATTTACTCACATGCGGTAACACTACTGTTGTTACAATTAACTTTCATATATTCTCACAATTTGACACTAATGTGAGTTTTTTCTTCTTGCACACAATTTGACAATAATTAAAATAGTATGCAATCAAATGCAATATTCAAAATAGTTGACATGAAAATAGTATTTAATACATAAATTAACCATCAAAGTAGTATTCAATCACTAATAATCAAAAGCATCAAATTAACCATCAAAGTAGTATTCATTTCAATACATAAATTAACCATCAAAATAGTATTCAAACGAAGGACTTTAAAGTCATCAAAACTCAAAAGCACTAATAATATGTTTCTTCAATTGTTTCTTCTTGCTTCTTGGATTGAGCTGCCAAGTTGTAAATCACCTTCAAGCAATAACCTTCAAAACACAAATCAAGTTGTAAATAATTATAAATATTAGATTCCAAAACCTGCTACAAAAAGTAAAACCATGCCATATAACATTATAAACAAAAACCAATTATAGACAAAAAAAAGCAAAAAGAATCTACTCCAAATAAAACATACCATTTTTTCAAGCAAGTCTCTAATCAGATTCAATATCAGAAAGTCCCTCATTTACTTGTGGGATTGGATCCATTTCTAAAAATAATCAAATATATTATCAAATGTTAGACAAAAAAAACAATTGAATAAAATATATTCATAAACAAAGTTTACAACATATACCTTGTTCGAGTTTCTCCAAGTCTTCCAAGTGCTCTTCAATATCCACTTTCAAAGGAGAGGATCTTAACCAATTTTGTGCACATATTAAAGCTTCAACGGTATGGGGTGTAAGAGAGCTCCTATAACAACTAAGAAATCTACCCCCTGTGCTAAAAGCTGACTCCGAAGCAACAGTGGATATTGGCATAGCCAAGATATCTCTAGCTATTAAACCAAGAGTAGGGTATTTGGTGGAATTTACCTTCCACCAATTCAAGATGTCAAAATCCGGACTTTTCTTCTCCCTCGTCTCTATGAGATACAAATCCACTTCATTATTAGTTAAATTTGAATCTTGGTCCATGTCCTTCTCAAATTGATCATCCATATGATCAGAAGATGTAACAACTTCCGATAGCCCTATTTCTTGTGCAGCACTTTCGGCTTGGTCTTTACTTAAGAAAATACTATAACTTTCAAACATTTTGTTTAATGTTTGTTTCACCTTATCACACAAAAAATCAGCAACTTCCTTCTCATAAAACTTATCCAATCCCCACCTAATAAATTGGAACTTACGTCGAGGATAAAAAATTACAGCAATAAAGACTAGTATATTCATCTTTTTGACTTCTCCCCAATAATTACTATATTTATCATCCATAGCATTAGCCATATTTGTAAGTAATGGGTCATCTTTATGACATTCCTTCCAAGTCTTTAATGCCCCCAATATCGTACAATGTTCCATGAAATAAGTAGAAGATGTTACATAAGTAGAACCTGACACCTTTGTAGTGATTTCAAAAAACAACTTTAAGAATTTCACAAAACACTTGGCATTATCCCAATCCTCATTATTTGGGACACCACCTTCCAACATCGCATACTCAACACATTTCTCACCTAATCTCTTAAAGGCTTTTTGAAACTTCAATGCACTTTCAAGCATAAGGTATGTGGAGTTCCACCTAGTGGGACAATCATACTTCACAGTAGACTTGTCTTGTATCCTAACTTCTTTAATACATGTCCTAAACCTATCTAAACGACCAGGTGACTGACGAACATATCGAACCGCTCTCCTAATTTTGGAAAGTGAAGAATGCATGTGCTTCAACTTCAACCCATCATTGACAACAAGGTTAAGAATGTGAGCACAACATCTAATATGTAAATGCTCCCCTTTTAATGGATGTGAATTCCAATCCTCCATTCTATTTTTTAGGTAAGCGATAGCAACATCATTTGAAGAAGCATTATCAACTGTGATGGTGAAAACCTTATCTATCATCCAACCCTCCAAACACTTTTCAATCTTTTTCCAATTATCTCCCCTTTATGAGAAGTTATTGGACAAAAGTTGAGAATCCTTTTATGCAACTTCCAGTCTTGATCAATGTAATGCGCAGTAAGAACCATATACTTAATATTTTGCACAGAAGTCCAAGAATCAGTTGTTAGACAAACACTTTGATTTGTTTTAGTAAACATGCTTCTTAACTTATGTTTCTCACTCACGTAAAGACTTAAATAATCCCTAGAAATTGAAATCCTTCCTGGAAGTGGGAACCTAGGTTGTGTAACACTCATAAAATGACGGAATCCTTCGTTCTCAACAAAAGAAAAAGGCAATTCATCCACGATTATCATTCTAGCTAAAGCTTGTCTACACAATTCAATATCGAAATGGATACCAACAAGTGCATTAATATTTCCTTTAGAACCTTCTTGAAGGCTAAGAGTGGTTTGACTAGGATCAAGAACATGTTTGGGAATTTTTTTACATTGATGCATCAAATGATTATTTAAATTTGAGGTTCCATTCTTATGTGAATCAGCTGCATAAGATTTCGTGCACCAATTACATTTAGCCCGAGTACCGGATTCATCTCTTGTAAAATGATCCCAAACCCAAGATTTAGGCCTACAAGGTTTTAGTTTACCTGAATCTCCAGCATTAGAATCATCAGCTTTAGACTCATCCGCTTCTCCAACTTTCCTTTTCTTTTTGTGTTGAACATTGTAGCCTTCTTGTTTGTCCAAATCAATAGTTTGTGGTTGGTTTGTTGTAGGCGTCGGTGGACTATTTTAAGACTAAAAAACATAACACATACACTGTAAATATAACTACTTTATTATAGCCATTAAATAAATTCCAATCACGAACTTAACATTTATCAAATACACTTATTTATCATTATTTTACCTGATTTTCGGCCATGGAAAAGGAAGCATCAGAGCAAGCAACATAATTGACTTCTTTATCAATATTCATATTTAAGAAATAGAGGAGACAATATATTAGAGACAAGGAAATGAAAATAAAACATAAACCTTTATGAGTATGGCAAAGTTAGCTAACATATTTGGAATCATTGAATCTAAGTTGGGTCTTAGTACTTTTAGTACAAATTGTAAGAGTATTAAAATGTTCAATCTTTTTATATTAAACTTGGCAATGAACTTGAACCAAGTCAAAATATTTTTGAGTTGTGCTTAAGATAAAATCATGTGGCATTAGCAACTCCATTTGTGAGAGTTGATTTGTTGAGCAACAACTCCAATAAACAATAGTCCAAGAGATATTAATCTGCCGCATTCCAACTCCATTCATGAGTGGATTCTTCAAGTGAATCAATTATTTTGCGTAGAGAGCATGTTATATATTAACTATATATACAATGTGCTAGTTCATACTAAAAATATCAAAATGGCCATAAGGTTCACACTCACCTCTTTTTCCTTAAAAAACATCATAGTACTTCACTTTTCTCTCTTAAGCATCACCCTAACTCCCTAAGGTGTGTAAAAACAAAAGAGAATCATGCTCCACCACTCACTTTCTTCATGCATGACATTCTAGGTGGATTAAACCCTTCAGAAAGAATCATGAATGGCATCATTGTCAACACATAACCAACCACTAACCTTCCTTTCTCAAAACCAAATAACAGATTATTCCCTACTAAAGGAAGCATACCAATTTTCGACACTAGCATTAGTACAAATGGTTTTCCCTCAAGCACACCAATGATAAAAAACATTGACAAAAACAAAGTGATTATAGATAGTGCTGACTCTAACTCACTTCCTTACGTTACAAGGAATCGAATCCCGATCGGAGCAACTCTAGAAAAGCTTTTATTTGGAAGAATAACTGTTATTGATAATGAGATTACAAAAGGGTGTGAGTTGAATTCGGAGATTATTGGTAAAGCGCAAGGTTTTCATTTGGTTAGTTCTTTGGATGGAAGCAGTCAAACCATGGCATTTATAGCTTTGTTTGGTGATGAAGGTCATGAAGATGATGATGCTATTAGTTTCTTTGGAGTTCATAGAATGGCTACACATGAATCCTATATTGTTGTTGTTGGAGGAAGTGGAAAATATGAAAATGCAAGAGGGTATGCGAAAATTGAGACGTTACATTTACATTATGATCAACACAAAAGTACTAATGGGATGGAAACACTTTTTCAGATTACTGTCTATTTATGATTATGATAGTTAGATAGTTGTTTTGTAGTAAAGAAGATCTCATTATTCTTTGTAGGAAAATATGTAATACATGCTATTTCTCAAACCACTTTTTCAATAAATCATGTCTTATTACTTATTACTTAAACATCAATAAGATTCAACAACATCATGATCAGTAAAACAACAGAATAAACATTATGATCAGTAACCAAACCAAACTGATTTTCATATTTCAGTAACCAAAAAGAGAAAATAGAACACAACTTGAACATGATGAACAATAACGTTACCTAAGTGATTTTCATATTTTGATAATGTTCTTCGAATTCAGTTTGTGTTTCGCTTGTTGCTGATGTTCTTTAACTTCGATTTGTGTCCACTGTTCTTCGATCAACAAGGTGGTGCTGTGATGTGCGTGTTTGTTCTGGTGTGAGTGTCCGCCATTCTTCTTCAATGTACCGGCGGCGGCGGCGGTGTACTGTACCCCAGCAAGCAAATAGGTGAAACAACAATAAACATGTATATTGGATTTGGGCCAGTTAATAATTGGGCCTATTTTAGTAATTAATAAATAAGTTTGTAAACATCGTGGTTTGGTTCGGATCGGATCGGTTTGCAAAAGAAAACCGCAAACCGAACCGAACCGCACAATTCTGTCAAAAATTGGTCTGAACGCATCCGAACCAAATGCGGTTTTTGCGGTTTTCGGTTTGGTTAGGTTCGGTTTGCGGTTTTTTATTGGGTTGGTTTGGATCTGAACACCCCTAATCCAAACATAGCCTTCCACTTGTAATTTGCTCTTGACCAAAAAAGATGGCATGAAGTAGACCTCTTGAATGACATTTTGAAACTTGAACCATTCAAAATATCAAAAATTGAGAGAGTTATGAATTGTTGAAGTTGGCAAAAAAAAATCATTAAATGACTTGAAATATTTTGTATCCTTAAGGAAACTTCCATCCTTTTTCTCACTTTGCACACAAAATAAGGAATAAATTTCACATCCTCAAGATCATTATGGAAAAATAATGGGCTCAAGGTGATAAAAATTGATCAAGTTATGATCATTTGAAGTCACACATGGAAAATTGGGGGTGCATCTGGAGGACTTGTAATCTTTCTTCTTCATCAAGTTTCTTCCACATGAAAACTCCTTGGAACTTTTGAAGTGATTTGTTGATAACCATTTGAAGAGAAGGATTTCTTTGGAATCACTCAAAAATACCAAAAGATGTGCAAGATATGCTCCTTTAAAGTTCAAAACCCTAGCTCCTAGATCAAGAAACATGCCTTGAGGAACTTTGACAATTTTGAACAAACTTCTTGTACCAACACAAATGATTTCTAAATATAAGTTGTTAAGGATGTTAATGAGAACTCATAGCAACCACAACCACTTCCATATCTTGAGAATTGAGAGAAATATGCATTTGTGACCAATGGGAACAAAGCCTTGTCCAAGCAAGCCAACTTCTCCAATCAATCCCTTGTGCTTTTGAACCAAATTTTATAACCTTGAAATATGGTGAACAAAAATAACCTTGCCATGCCATTCCTTCCAAAAAATATTCAATGGAGAGGCTTGAACTTCTCAAGCTTTATTAACTAGGGCATGGAAATAAACTCATGAACCCATGGAGCAACTTGCTGAATCTTATTGCCTTTACCTACATGGATAACAAACAAGACAAACCAACATTGTATTTTATTAATTAAAAGAAGAAATCAAGACAAAAAATATTCATGATCACAAAAGGACACAATTCAAGGTGCTTGGTGATTCCTCAAAGAGCAAAGCTAAATATAGGTAGGGGAACCAAGAATCCTAATGTGATCTTGTTGTGATGGAATCAACATGGTATGATGAAGCGATCTTAGGGGAAAAAATTGGGGTACAACAGCTTCCCCTATTTAAGTTTCTTCTATCCACAGATACGAAGGTTAAAAATCTTCGTGTCGACGCGATCAAAGACACTTAAATATAAAACAAACCCTATTTTTGGACCTAAGATGCCATGCAATGCTTATGAGCATGAATGCATATGAACAAGACCAAAGAGACGCAAAATGCCACTGGGTATGTAATAAAAAAATAAAATAAAATAAAGAAACAAGAGAGTAACCCAACCAGGAAAATAAATCACTGGTGGATCAAAAAGATCTGAATAAGAGAGGATGGTAAAATGGTCAAAGGATACACCAACTTCCACTGAAGGCGAAACTACCAACGTTTACTGAAGGTAGAGAGAAAGAGTCGTCGATGTTCACTGCTGATAACCCACCAACTTTCACTGAAGGTAGAGAGAAAATAAATAACAACACCGACGTTCACTGACGGTGAGCTACCAACATTTATTGAGGGTAGCAAAAAGATAACAAACACCAACTTTCACTGATGGTGATCTACCAACTTTCACTGAAGGTAGAGAGAAAATATATCATAGTACCGACGTTCATTGACGATGAACTACCAATATTCACTGAGGGTAGCAAAAATATAACAAACACCAACTTTCACTGATGGTGATCTACCAACTTTCACTGAAGGTAGAGAGAAAAATATATCATAACACCGCCGTTCACTGACAATGAACTACCAACGTTCACTGAGAGTAGAAAAAAGATGACAAACACCAACTTTCATTGATGGTGATATACCAACTTTCTCTGAAGGTAGAGAGAAAAATATATCATAGCACCGCCATTCACCGACGATGAACTACCAACGTTCATTGAGGGTAGCAAAAAGATAACAAACACCAACTTTCACTGGTGGTGATCTACCAACTTTCACTGAAGGTAGAGAGAAAAATATATCATAGCATCGCCGTTCACTGACGATGAACTACAAATGTTCACTGAGGGTAGAAAAAAGATAACAAACACCAACTTTCACTGATGGTGATCTACCAACTTTCACTGAAGGTAGAGAGAAAAATATATCATAGCACCGCCGTTCATTGATGATGAACTACCAACGTTCACTGAGGGTAGCAAAAAGATAAATACTGACAATAAAAGTTTCCCAAAATCATGGAGTTTCACCTAGAATGGGTCTCAACTTCTTCTTTAACCGAGGCACTCCGCCTGGAAAGGGTAATATATAAGCTGTCTCAAATAAAGAGACTACCACTTGCAAAGATTTCTCAATGAATTGCCTCTGTCATATTGAAAAGTCTTGCCATCCACTGGAGTAATTTTGATAACGCACTGCAAACTATCCACTCATAGAGAAGATAGCAAAAAAAAAGGTAACATCGACTTTTACAGGGAAGTACAAGTTGCTCAAATAAAGAGACCTGCTACTTATTGTTATGGGATGGATTGTAAAAATGACTTTCTGGGGAAGCAATATGACTTCCTGGGGAATGAACCACGATATTTCTGTTGAGGAGGTCAATCCTTCTTGTGCAAAATAAATGCACGAACCAAAACTCAAAGCTTTCAGAGATCCAGAGTAAATAATATTGTTGGGAAACCAAAAGGTTCAAACCAGAAATAAACTGGAATGAAACAGTCAACCTAAATACAACCTTTGAGAAATAAACTCAAGAGGGAAAACCAAATCCATCTAAACAAGGATCTGTACAGGAAGGCTAAAGCAAAAATCTTCCACGAGGGATAACTCAGTGGGGAAATTGAAAGAATATACGCTTTCTGCTTAAGGCCAACACTCTATTGGAGAGAGGACAACATAACTTGCCTGCTTCAGCTTTACTGGGGAGAAACATAATCCGGAGGTAAACAAATCAAAGTGATAGAAAAGTACAGATACATGGATAGAACATCCTTCTTTAGACTTCACCGGGGAAACAAATGTTTTCAAAAGTAACACTTCTACTGGGGATTGCAAAACCAATCTCAAGTAAAGTAGATGGACACCAAATCATCAAAACATTCATTGGGGAATTCAGACCCACTTCAATAGGGAGATTAACACCATATCCTCAAAGGGAAAACCATAATACGTTCTTCACCAGAGAAACCGGGGACCTGCATTCTTCAAGAGTGATTACGGTACCGTCTTTTCTGGAAAAAGAACTTCCATTAGACCGATTGAAAACTTCACTGGAGAAATCTCGGATTAAAACCTTACATCATGAAAACTCAAACAAGGAGGATAAATGAATCCAAACTTGACCGAGGATACCGGAGTCTCGAACCCAATACGGCAAATCATCCTGAGTAAACTTTCCCGAGGGAAACAAAAAAAACTTCTTAAAATAACTGGAGTTTGTCCATTCCTGGGATCACCATTTTTGTTGTTATTATTTTTTTTTGCATCACAAATTCTAAAGTAAAAGCAAATTGTAAATTCTTTTTGAAAAATCGATTTTGTTATTTAATCTTTTTTCTTTGAAAGTTATTATCAATAATAAATGGAGTCTTTGCAAGTTAAATAAAATAAGAAACACAAAGAGGTATTCCCTGACTTTACCATAAACTTTACTAAGGCTGAACTTGCTGAAAGCCTAAATGAAATTCTAGAAAGGTATCAGCAGATCAGAGTCAAATTCAGAAACCTGAAAAGGAATCTTGCCTCTGACTCTGAAAAGACTGAGAGTCTCAGATTGGAGAATTCTGAGTTAAGAGAAAAAATTTCAAAATTAGAAAATCATTTGCAAAACTCTCAAAAGGAAACAATCTCTGAAACTCCCAACAATGCTGATGAGATCATCAAAGAGTATGATCACAACTTTCAGAAGTTTCTAGCTAAAAACATAGACAGAAGCAAAATGGCTTTAATGATCTATGGAGTTAGCAGAAATGGCAGAAAAGGGATAGGATATCAAGGTAAGGTACCTACACCAAAAAATGTCATGGACTTAGTTATACAACACACACCACTTAATTCACATTTTATATATGGGCACACACATGACATAAAATACACAAGTAGTGATTATTCTGTCAAACCAAAATTCAATCAGAATTTTGGTAAAACTAACAAATCAGGACCCAAGAAAATGTGGGTACCTAAGGATAAAATCATACATGTGGCAGATATCTTTAGCAAC